CATATAGTTGCAAAACTGGAGGATGCTGTTTTTTTTAGGGAAAACAGAAGGAAAATCTTATTTGCATCACCATTCAGATTAGAAAATGGCAAGACAAAGAAAGCACCATGGCAGGATTTTCATCTTTGACTGGTGTGTTCAAACTCACTTTACATTTCATCACATACATTTTGTTTATTTTAAATTTGATTATAAAATCAATTGCATTTTTGTTTATTTACTTGAAGAGTGTGGTCAAACAATTATAACTATTTTATTAACTTTATATATATAGTATTTCTATTAGAATAGTATAGTCTTCAAAAGTTTTAAAAAATAAATATATAGTGTGTCTCCATAAGTTTCAAATGATGGTAAGGTGTAAAACGATAATGATTTATTTACAAGATCATTGAATTGTAAGCACTGGTCTGATAAGAATAAGCGATGGTTACCAGATGGTCTTTGTCTGCAAACTTAAATTCTGTAGGTTTAGTTGGGACAACCATAAACTGCAGTTACTGTCATTGAATGAAAAAGAGCTGCATGAAGATCCTTCAAATATACTCTTTTGTGTTCGTTGGAACAAGCATTTAATCTGCCCCATTACTTCAACTGCTCAAATATAATATGTCCTGAGTCATACCTTAACCAGCACTATTGTGTAGCTTCACCTTTATTTCATGCGTTATGGCAACAAAAAGGCCTTCAGTTTTTCACAATATCAAGGCCAAGCAGTCATGCTACAAAACAAGCTCAGGCAAGCACATGCCCGTACTTGCAGGTCTTCCTGTGAATGTAACTTTGTGATGTTTTAGATCCAGCTCATTGATGCTCTCAGGCCATGAAAAAATAATAATAATCTATCTCAGGACCAACGTATTTTACGAGGTGGTGAATTCGTACGATTTGTCTAAACCCCAGTGATGGGTAGGTTTAGGGGCGGGGTCAGGGGTAGGTCATTCGTACGAATTGGGCAACTCGTAAAATACGTACGATTGAGCAAAAATCTTATGAATCTTAAAATCTTACGAATTCGTATAAGTGAGGTCGTACGAATTCGTCCACCTCGTAAAATACGTACGAATCGCTGTGAGATCGGGTTGAAAAAAACACAAAACCACCCAGTAAAATCACTGTCTTGTGGTTTCATGACACAGAAAACAAGATCAGACTGGTTTTAACACTTTATTAGGATTAAGTGAGGTAAGCGGTCCTTTTTTCTTAAGTTGTGCTCTTGACAAATAGAAATTACATGGTTTAACCCAGTGGTTCCCAAACTGGGGGGTGCGGCAATGCTAAGGGATAGTGTACAGTCAGCAGATTGTAATACAAAATAAATCTCTTCAGGGAGATATAAGACTCCACTGCGAAATTATCCCGCTTATTATGCGCCTACTTGCCTCATAAGTAAATAATTGAACACAAAATATTAAGTTGACATATTTTATTACCTCAAGATGTCTCGCAATTCCCACTTGAAACGGTCTGTTATTATAGACATGATACATCCCACCTCTTCCGGAAGTTCCGGTAGTCTCCCGCATATAAGCTGTGTCCCAGAGGCTGCATCCTTCGAAGGCCGCGAAGGTTGGACCGACCGAGCGTTGTTAAATGGAACAGTCTAGCCTACGGAGGATTATTCTTGTCACCTAGCAACTGTGATTGACAACATTTGTAACTGTAACGGGGTTCAGATGTTATGGGAAGAAGGAGGCGGGAACCGGTGAACATTCAACACTTTAATAATAAAATAAACAAATACAAAATGAAAGTAAAGCCAGCAGCCCCTCACGGACGACTGCTGGCCACAGAAACAAAACACAACATAAAATAAGGCCTGTTCCTCTCTCCATCTTCACCGTCGTCGCTCCTCCTTTATGCTTCCGCTCCTCCGTGAGAGATGCGAGACCGGTGCGTCTCACAGGTGTCGCTCATTACCACTCACGCGGCGCCACTGGTCTCGCGCCGCTCTCACGTCACTCGGCCTCGTCCTGCTCGCCACATACCCCCATCGCCCCTCGCAGGCCGGGGGGTACCCACGAGACTGCGCTCTACTCCCCCCCCCTCCGGGGGAACCGATCACGGTGGCCGCGGCACCTGGGGGTATGGATAGACGAGGCGAGAGAACAGGAGACGGAAGCATGAGGAGCGACAGATACGAGAGAGGGGAGAGAAAAAAAAAAAAAAAAAATCATGGTCCGGTTCCCGGAAACACTGCCGCTCGGTCCTCAGCCAGCTGAGAGACTCACTCGCGGTGCCATGCGATGGTACTGGACATCCGTTGGGGAAAGGTTCGACACTCCTCCGCCTCCTGGCGGACGGCGATGGCTCCTCCGGTCGAGGGCAGCCGGCAGCGAGTCCTCCGTTCCCTGCTCCGCCCCCATCAAGGCCGACGGCGAACGGGAGCGACTCCTCCGCTCCCTGTCGGACAGCAGGCACCCCTCCTCGACCCAGGAGCACGGCAGCGAGGTCCCTGTCCCACCTGCTGTTACATCGCTCCAGCACCATCGCCTCGGGCAACAATCGGCGGCCATGGCTCCCTCGTGCTACCCGACCTCCTCAGCACCGCGATCCCCCTCAGCAGCGAGGGCTCTCCGACAGCGTGTCCCTCCTTCCTCCCGGGTTTCGGCACCAATGTAACGGGGTTCAGATGTTATGGGAAGAAGGAGGCGGGAACCGGTGAACATTCAACACTTTAATAATAAAATAAACAAATACAAAATGAAAGTAAAGCCAGCAGCCCCTCACGGACGACTGCTGGCCACAGAAACAAAACACAACATAAAATAAGGCCTGTTCCTCTCTCCATCTTCACCGTCGTCGCTCCTCCTTTATGCTTCCGCTCCTCCGTGAGAGATGCGAGACCGGTGCGTCTCACAGATGTCGCTCATTACCACTCACGCCACCGGCCTCGCGCCGCTCTCACGTCACTCGGCCTCGTCCTGCTCGCCACAGAAACGTTGTACTGCACTTTTTTGAAAGTTATATTCAACTATTTGAAAACAAAAACTTCTCGTTAAAAAGAAAAACCTACTGTGAGCGGTTGTTAATTGATAATATTAGCTTCTGTTGAAGCCGTCAGCCCACGTTATTTCAACTTGATTTTAAAACAATCGTGTTTAACAGCTATAATCGTGTTCCGCCTCCCTCTTCTCAGGTTTTGGCATCCCTGATGCCTTCAAACTATACACACTATCACGGACATCGAGTAGCTAATAATAATACATATAATAATATTTTTCTCTACAAAAGGTGGGCTCAGGAAATGGATAAGTAGCCTACATAATCAAATTCACAAATATGGACCCTTTTCATATTTCCGAGTTTCTCAGAAGCAGACATCGTCATAGTTGGGTAAACTTCTATGGCGGTAAATGAAGAGCATACATTGAAATAGCAAAAGAAAAACTCTATAATAGTGTTTTCACAACTTCCAAAAAGAGGGGGAAAAATTGAGAGAGATTAATAACGGCAGTCGGAAGAGAGAACGATGTCAAATTGACCGCCGCTCCCACAGCTCCTGTATTAAAAAAAAAAACCCACAGCAGCGTTAACAGTTTCTTGTAATTTGAGGCAAAGTAGGCTAATACAAAGTAAAGTGTTATAAATGATGTACTTTTAAAAAGAAATTAAAATATTAAAAACTTTGCAGGATTTACGATGCTGAAGATCGTTACAAAACATCACCTTGGTCAGTGTCATTGTGAGTTTTGGTTATTTTGCTGTTGTAGACTGTAAGCACCTTTGAAATAACTGAAATCATGTGGCGAAGACCACTTTAGCTGCGGTTTTCTCTGAAAAACGTATTTTTCTTTGTCAGCCAATCCGATTCAAGTATTCAACAGCCCCGTAGTATAAATATAAATAATTCATAAATAATTTCAGTATTTGAAGTCAGTCTTTTTTGTTAATTATTGATAGATAATTCGACAGATAACGACAGATAATTCATCATGTGGTCACACATTAACCTTTGTACCATATAAAACCATGCTTGAACTGATGTTTGATCGTATCATTTATAGTTCCGCAATAATTCTGTTCAATATTAACACTGGTAGAAACAGGTGATAAGAGAAAACTGAACATACAGATCAGGTGAATTATTCACTCAGCCAAAAGAAAAAGAAGCAATTAACTTTTGTGTCAGAGGATCTGTGTTCATGTTAACTTCATGCTAAGTTTCCATTGTGTAGCCTATGTGTTCTTTTCCCCTTTTTTATTTCCTTTTATTTTTTTTTGAAAGTAACAAGTTACAGCAGTAAAACCACTTCCTTGATTCTTCTCATCTCCATCCAAGTCCATTTATCTCAAGGTTTTAGTTTCCTCCAAACCTGCTTATTTTCCACAGCGTTCTAAAATCACGTTTATTGACACCATTAACTTTTCATACAAATGCAAATTTTGCACTAAGAACCCTTTGGATTGACAAATTTCTCACCATGTGTTCATTGTGAGCATTAATATAGGCCAGACCTTTGCCTCAGATGTTTGGAGAGACGCTTTGAGAACTGTCAATATAATAAAGGTGTAAACTGCGGTTTGCACAGTGGAGAACATCGCATAGACCAGTACTTGACAGTCAGGGCTTGTTATGCTGGTGGTTATGCTTGGAATGACAACGTTTGACACTTGTCAAATTAAAATAATAAAGGAGAAATAGTTTAATTTTCTACTACATACATATTGCTCCGCTTGCTCACAGAATGTAAGGGGCCGTTCACACAGAAGATGAGTCAGTCAGATTGTTTCCGCTAGTCTTGGTTGCTAATGTTGCACAAAACTGCTCATCTTTCATGGGCTAAGACAAAAGCCCCCAGTGACACCCGGGATCCACCGCAAGAAGAGATTGCTAAATGTCATTGCGTTACCTTTCTGCTAATTAATTACCTGTTACTTTGAACTGAGAAGACGCATTGACAGCCAGATTATTTAAAGATATGAGTTACTCTTTGAAATTGTATGTTAGTGGCTGAGTTTGTTTTTGTCCAACTAATAGAATTGTACCTGTGTTATAGGATAAGAATAAGGAAGCATAAGGTCTTCCTGTTGTTCTTACTGGGGATTTGTGTCGTTTCCTTCCTTCATTACTACAAAGCCCTGCACAATATTTCACTGCTGCAGGAGCTCTCATCTTCCTCCACCCATCAAAAGACCCTGAAGATGTTAAGAGGGATCTTCTGGAGTTTTCCGGCTACTGACTTCCACTCCCAACAAGACTTCTACAGACACAGCCACCTGAAGGTAGAGGCGATGAGGGTGAAAGAAGTTTTAATCTGAGGACCTGATCTGTCCTTTATCTCGTGTCAGAGTATAACTGTTTCCTCATGTGGCTTAATGAACCTGGTTTAGTACTGACTCGAAGACTATTTATAAAGAGAGCAGTTTAGTTTGTGGTTGGCATAAAAGTTACTGGTTGTGTCACATGGTCTCATCTACAGACTTCAGCTTTATATATACAGTATGTCATGTGAAAAAGAAAGAAGGCTGCAACCTTTTGTATTCTATGGTTTTACATAATATAAAATCATCTGGTCCTTGGCAGGTCTTAAAATTAGGTAAAAACAGCCTCAGATGAACAACAACACATGATATATTACACCGTGTCATTATTTATTTAACAAAAACTAGGCCAAAATGGAGAAGCCATGTGTGACAAACTAAGTACCCCCTTACTGCTTCCATAGGAGGGTAAGTCGCAGTCAGCGCTGCTAATCAAATGCCTTTGATTAACCGATCATCAGCAAGTGTGATCACCTCTATAAAAGCAGAAGTTTTGGCAGTTTGATATCTGTCTCTCATAAGCAATCGTGACCTGCTTCATACCACAGTCATGATAAAAACATCAATGTATTCAATCATCCATAAACATTATTAGATCAATCGGCATGACGACAACTTCCAAAATTACATTCATGTGTCATCAACCTACGCCTTTGTTATTGGAAGAGGTTAGCGACCCCTAGCGGCAATTTTTTTTTACATATTGCAGCTTTAAAGAAACCTTAAAGGGGTGGTTTAGGATTTTGGACATCGGACCTCATTTCCAAGTTAGCCTTAGTGTTATTTATCAGTGGAGACAGTTTTAAAAAATTTCATCCAGTCGTTCCAGTTGCATAGTTCGCCGGTGCTAGGCTAGCGCGAGTCAATGGTAACTGCTAGCCTGCCATTAAAAACAGTTTTACCCACTCCACAGTACACCAACAGCAAATAAATTATAACGGCAGACTATCGATGTAAATGTCTGTTAAGAGAATAATGTTAAAAATCAAACTACTCTTGCATCTCAATGATTGCAATACATTTACAGGAACTAGTTTCTCAGCAGCGGTGGAATTTTACTTTGCTCCGGTTAGTAGTACTGCGCCGAAAAGTAAACACAGAACCGAAGCGCACTACAGTCGGAACTACCTCTCTCTCTCACTACCTCTCTCGGTTGCCTAGGGAACTACATATCACTCCGCCGCTGCTGTAGACTGCGCTAATAAATACAGGGAACAAAGTATAACTATTGCAATGCAATGAAAGGGTAGGTTGATTTTTAACATTAGTCTCTTAACAGACATTTACATCGATAGTCTGGCATTATAATTTATTTGCTTTTGGTGTACTGTGGAGTGGGTAAAACTGTATTTATGGCAGGCTAGCAGTTACCATTGACTCGCGCTAGCCTAGCACCGGCGAACTATGCAACTGGAACGACTCGATGACAATTTTTGAAAACTGTCTCCACTGATAAATAACACTAAGGCTAACTTGGAAATGAGGCCGGATGTCCAAAATTCTGAACCACCCCTTTAAGAGAGCTGTGCATCAACAAATACCCACAAACCTCAATGAACTGAAGCAACGTTGAACATTGTAAAGAAGAGCGGGCTAAAATTCCTCCACAGCGATGTGAGAGACTGATAAAGTCATATAGAAAATGACTACTGCCAAAAGTGGCTCGAAGCAATTAAATCATAGAGTGTACTTAGTTTGTCATGCCCTGCTTCTCCATTTAGGCTTTTTTTTGTTAAATAAATAATGACAATTAAGTGTCATGTGTTATTGTTCATCTAATGTTGTATTTACCTAATTTTAAGGACTAATATTGACTTATATATATATATATACATATATAAGGGGATTGACATATTTGGGCGTCCAAGTACAGTAACTGACATGTTAGCTAACAATACTGAATGCCACAGCTCTCAAGAATGTCACTTGACTACAAATGTCAAACTGTATTTCTAATAATAATCTTCTTTTCCTCCAAACAGACTCAATATGACTCAAATGTGATTCTGCCAGATCCTCCAGGTGAGAAACTTCATGAACGTACCTTTGCACTCCATGATGATTCCACACCCTTTTTCATCCACACCAAATCCGGAGCTGTGTGCTTCCGTGAGGGTACGGATATGGCCGCCTCTGCTTCTCACCGCAGGTTACTGCAACATAACTCCAAAAACGACACAATCAATGCAGGCAAGAAGGTGTTTCAGTGTCCCTGTCGGCAGGGTTGGCACGGCCTTCACTGTGGCATACCTACAATTGTGTATCACTCCAATCTCCCGTCCAAGTCAAAAGTAAAACCCAGAGAAGTTCCACGCCGAGTCATCAATGCCATCAACATCAACCATGAGTTTGACCTACTACACGCTCGATTTCACGAGCTTGCAGATGTTGTGGACGTGTTTTTGGTTTGCGAATCTAACTTTACCGCGTACGGTGACGCAAGACCTCTTTATTTCCGGCACCTGCTCCTAAACGGAACGTTCGATTACATTAAGTACAAGATTCTGTACGTCTTCCTGGACCACTTTCCAGTGGGCGGCCGTGAGGACGGCTGGATCATGGATGATTACCTGCGCACATATTTGACCAAAAATGGAATGTCAAGGATTGAGGGCCTCAAAGCGGACGATGTTTTCATCATCGATGATGCAGATGAAATTCCTGCTCGAGATGGAATCCTTTTCCTCAAACTCTACGACGACTGGACGGAACCGGTTGGGATACACATGCGCAAATCCCTATATGGATTTTATTGGAGGCAATTCGGAACGCTAAACATCTTATCTGCTTGCACGGCAGCTATGCTCTTTAAGGTTTACAAGGGTGATGGGATTCTTCTTCGCCGCCGATCCTATTATTCAATTCCGGGATTCCGGGAATATGAGAACTCCACGGGACGCATTCTAGTACCGTGGGCCATCGGAAGCCCCGTTCACTATGCTGGATGGCACTGCTCTTGGTGTTTCAAACCAAAAGGGATTTATTACAAGCTCATATCAGCTCAGAATGGAGACTTCCCACGTTGGGGCGATTACGGGGAGAAACGGAATATAAGTTATATTAAAGAGTTAATACGTACAGGGGGTTGGTTTGATGGGTCTGTACCAAACTACCCACCCACAGACCCCAAAGAGCATATGTATGCTCCCAAATACCTCCTGGATAACTATAATAAATATCGCTACTTGCTGGAGAACCTATTTGCCAAAGAGAAACGTTAAGAAAAACGGATCTGTTTCAAATGGGCATTTACTAAGATAACCTGATGTTTCTGTATTCATAATGGAGACCTAGAGAGAGCGTTACAGTCATATCGGGACTGCGGTAAAAATTGCCTTAGTGCATTAGTTGCATTGATGCTTTGATTCTTATAAGTCATCACTATTCTCTCTTTTTTTCCAGTAAAAATATCATCCTTTAAAATCAGCATGAAGTCAAAACGGACAAATATTTTTATTTTTATGGAATATTGCTGTATTTATCCATGCAAATCATTATTATTTTTTAATTAATATGCTCTCGTAATCTTGAATCAAAATAACTTTCCCTCCCTCTTGCAGCTCATCTCTTCTCTTATGATGTGTTCAACCTGTCACTCACATGACATCACACCAATTGCAAACCACAACCATCCGATCAAGTCCCGCCCTACATTTTTTGTTGTAGCCTGTCACAATAGGCAGAAAAGACTCTTACAACTTTCCTTTCATGCCAACTTTAAACAAGATAAATAATATAAAAACAATAGTAATATAAAATACATTCTTATTTATACAAAATAATTATATGTAAATACTTTTTTTCAGAGAATATATCTTAAAATTATTTTTTTTAATTTCTAATTTTAAAATTGGATGGATTTGTGCTTAAAACAATTTTAAAAATCTTACTTCAAGATTCATGCATTATCTTAAAAAGTTTGTAAAATGGTCTTGTTTGTACAAGATGAAAAAAAAAATTCTTAATCAGTATTGTTTATATTTCTAATTATTTTTACACTTTAAACAACAATGATATTGCAGCTGCAATGCCACTTTCATGTCCACTGAACTAAAATGGCCCCATCCCAGTCTGTAAGAGCTTGCTGATGGCTTGAGTTTCAAGGCTTTCACAGGGTCTGTCATGCTCTGTGGGCCTTGGATACAGATACGTTAAGCATTAGCTGTCAGTATCACTGATGTGAATCTTGTAGATTGTGCTTTGAACCCGGAACTCCTGTCAGGAACTGAGTTTGCCGTTTCAGCACAGTTGGCAGCAACAGGAAAGAAATTATTAGAAAACAAACAGCCAAGACAAATATGGGAAGTTTTAGAAAGCATGGCATTAAAAAGGGCATTCAAACCTTGAGTCAGGGGGTGATTTTGGTTGCAGGGGTTGCATTTTGGTTGGAAATCAAAGTCAAGTTGATGTTAGAACCCGACTGATGTTGGTTTCTGACATCAACATGATTTTCATTTTCAACCACAACACAACATCTGTCCGACGTTGGATGTTGACGTCAATCTGGCGTTGGATTCTGACATCAATCTGATTTTCATTTTCAGCGTTGGGTTTGGTCTTCTAAATGCAAATGTTGTCATTGTTTTGGAGCACACTAGCTTATAACAGTGAGGCTAACATATTAATACTAAGAGGCAAAAAACTTTAAATAGGGTACTATTTGAGTGAACAGCCATTTGGGTGTCCAAAACCATTGTGGACGTTAATGGGTGCACTTATTCAATCCCACTACTGGAACTGTGTTCTAGAAATACATTTGATATTGATATGAGGGTATATGTAGGCAGGTATTGATTCAGAGGCACAAGGTACTGTAAGTATTACATAAAACAATGCAACAATAATAAAACAATGCATTGACATTGACTTTTGATACTTAAGTACTTTTAAAAGCAAGTACTTTTGTACTTTACAAATCAGTCTTTACAACTTTTACTTGTAACAGAGTAATATTTGACCAGTAGTATCTGTACTTTCACTCAAGTAAGGAAGTTGTGTAGCCTACTCTGTCCACCTCTGCCCAGGAACAGTGAGCCGCTGAGCTGCTTTTGTCTATTTCCCCTTCCTACATGGCAGAGATGCAACCTTGTGTAACCTGCTAAAATGCTGGTTATTATGAGAGACTTTTGCCAGTATTTACAAAGACAAAAGAGAGCAGTTTCTCCGATCTGTACACTGTGAATACATTGTTAAACCTCTTAACAACACCAGCCTGCTTAAGAGGAACAATTTACAAGAGTTTAATTTCTATTGTTTATTTACAGAGGGCCTACTTGTTCATAGGTTATGCTTCAAAACTACATTGGGTTTTTTTTTTTTTTTTTTTGGTTTGGTTTGGGTTTTTTTTTAATGTCTCGAAGGCTACTTGGAATATTTTGTTAAACATTTCCTCTTATACGATGATAGAATTCACATTTGTGGCTGAACTGTTTCTTTTACATTATAATGTCATCTGATTTGTGTAGCAGTGACCCTACAGAGAAAATCAAGTAATTCTTGTTTACATGAGAAATGTTTTTGCAGTGCCAACATCTTGAACGATTGTACTTCCTGTAGAGAAGTTAGGAGCCATAATCTGTACTATTGAATAACGATCAGTTGGTAAAAGGGTTGTTTTTCCTGTCCAACACATTAAAGGTATTGTAGGTAGGAATTTTTTTTAAAACTTTTTGCCAAATTTGTTTAAACTTTCTATATATATCAATGCATAATTAAAATATAAGTACTCTGGAAAAGAGAGTATAAAAATCGAGTGTCTGTAGTCCTCTCAGGGCTCTAATAAACACAGCTACTTATCTCCATTCACTTCCACCCCCTCCATTCTGGGCTCCTTCCAAAACCACGCCCCCAAAACACATGAACGCGCGATGCCGACAGCTCACAGCTGGAGGACGCGCTTACCAGCGCCGAGCGGAGAGGAGCAGTGCATGTAGTGACATCATGTCAGACTCACATGTAATAAAATACCTAACTTTATCATTATGAATATAAACAACTAACATGGCTGTTAGTACTCACTATCAAGCTAGCATATCGATACTGGTAAAGTTTAAAATATATTGAGTTTGATTCGTTAACGAGCTAGTAACATAAAGCAAAGCTAAAAACAGGTTGCATTGATACACGTTTTCCCATTACAATCAGTTACACTGTGATGAAGGTGAATTTCGTGTAAGATTCATAACATATTCATAACATAGTGTTTTGCATGTAATTGTGTCTCTTACTAGTCTCTTACGGTACTGATCCACTTTTGCGACACGACTGAAGCGTGGTGTCGCACCCTCTCCACATTTGTAAGTTGATGCGCGTTCCTCAAGTTTACCGCTATGGGCGTGGTTTTGACCCAGCGGCCAGTCTAGAACAAAGGCCCCTCGAGAGACTACTTCTATTGGATAGACGCGTCGCGTTTGACGGATTCATTTGCATAAAGCTGGGCATCGGCCAGCTTTTTGACGCGCAGCATTTTTCCAAATGAAGCGCCGCCTTCCCGGGATGCTTTGCGGGCGCGTTAAAGTCGCGTGACGTAACCCATAGGAATAAAGTGGAGTGCGGCGCGACTGAAGTGTCGCACGGACAAGTGGATCAGTACCGTTAAAGGCCAATTTATACTTCTGCGTCGAGTGTACGCCGTAGTGTACGGCGTAGGCTGCGCACGTAGGCAACGCCGTCATGAGCATTTATACTTCTGCGTTTAGGTCTGCGTTGCTCTGCAGTACAGCGCCGAAACGCCAGTTGGCGGCGGAGGGTTTTAATGTTCCACTGTGTATAGATTCCTCGCGGCAAGAAGAAGAAGATTCCTCGCGGCTGTTTTGAGTTTAGGTTACTACAAGCAATGCCGACTGAAAGAGAGCAGATCATGTTGGAGTTGGAGCTTATAGAGGTGGAAAAGGTAAATTTTTAGTTTTTTTAACAGTTTCGCTGTACTTAGAATTTAAAAATGGCGGGCGGTGCAGAAGAACACGCCGGAAATGCATAGAAGGAAACGCGATGCTACCAAGCCGACCAATCACAGATCTTGCGGTCCGCGTCGTCGCGACGTGTAGTTACATTTTTGAGGAGGTGCGCGTCAGGTTACGGCGAAGGGTACAGCGTATGGTACGCGTCTGTGCGTATATGCTACGCCGTACCTACTGCGCGCACCCGACGCAGAAGTATAAATTGGCCTTGCCTTGTTTATACTCGACGCGTCCGCACGAGCGCGAGTCTCCGCTGACTGCGCGCGCACCTCTCCAAACGGACGAGGCGTTTATACTTGACGCGCTCGCCGTTGTGCTATTCTGTGAAACGACAGGGGGCGACTCGGAGTAATTCTCCTCTAAACCACCAGGAATCAGCAGTGAAGAAGTAGTTTGCCATTTATTAGTAGTTTATTAATTTCTGATTCATATAAAAAGAGTAATAAATGCAGTAGGTTTATTGCACTTTCACTGCATGTAAACTAGTAAACAACTGAAGCCTTATTGAAGAGTGTTTAAACCTTAACTTCATCAGCAGGGCTTAATTCTGCTATTGTAGGCTTATTTTGTAAATGTAAGCAGTTACTTTATACAAGTGCAAACTGGGTGCTTAATGTAAATGTGTTCCTATTCACAAAATGAGAGGCTTTTATGGTCGCCCATCAATACAAATGTCTCTGTGTATAGAAGGATCATAAACATGGTGGTACAGACCAGTGTTGGGGTAGTTACTCAAAAAAGGTAATTAGTTACTAGTTACTAGTTACTTCTGTAAATTGTAATGAGATTACTTTACTAGTTACTGCGTTTGAAAAGTAACTTCACTACTTATTACTTTACTTTCCCGTTTCTTAATTTATGGACAAATATCATAGCCCTATCATCACTTTGCCTGTCTACATAGTGTTTATTGTATAAATATATACAAAATGGCATGTAAAACCATATGAAAGAACAATATCCCTGTCTGCACAAGGAAATATATCTCACTGTAAAATCCACAAACAACAGGATAAAGGAGGCTATGATGCGGTCATTTTAAAATGGGGTCAACACACAAGTTTTAAAACACAGGCTTTGGGAAACATGAGAATAAACTCTTCTCCTGAGAACAAAACAAGCTTTTTATTCGACTCATGGCAATAAAAATAAAAAATGAAGTGGTCAATGAAAAATAATAAAATAAAGGTCACTTTTACATTTTTGATCTTAATTTAAAATGCATTTTTCTTGGCGATTCAATAGTCGGCAGGGGAAGCATTTCTCTACAATGAACCCTGCAACAAGCCTGTTCATTTTATTTTGTTTTGTGTTACCTGCTGTGCTCCAAGACTTGAGAAGAGTTTTTGTAACAGCGCGCGCGGCGCCGAATCCGAGGATGAACGACTTCAAGAAGCCGAATCTGCCCGAGCATGTAGCCTACGTCTCACCGTGACCGCATCGGCACACAGTTTGCGTGTCTAAATCAGTTGCTTATGTTTACAAAATGAGCCTACAATAGCATAATAAGCATTTTTAATAGAAAGATCCATGTTTTATCAAATGTCCACGAAACTTAATGAAATGTTTAGTGAAATTAGAAACCATTTAAGAGATCGTTGATTTAGTTCTATAGTCTACATACATGTTTTTATATCCACATTTTGTTCTAATGTCACAAGTAATAATCTCAGGGTTTACTGGATTTTACGTACACGATTCTTTTTGTAGTGTTATTGGTGGTGATGTAGCCTACTAAAATAAACATCGTCACGTGTGGACCTTTCTTCTTCTCACCGTTGATTCCTGATGGTTAAGAGGACAATTACTCGAGTCGCCCCGTCTCACAGAATAGTACAATGGCGAGCGCGTCGAGTATAAACGCCTCGTCCGTTTGGGGAGGTGCGCGTGCAGTCAGCGGAGACTCGCGCTGCAGAGACCCCCTGTCTCCGTCTCCGTCTCCATTTCCCTCTCTCCTTCGCACCGGCAGCTATGTCACTCAAATCGATCTCTATGGCAACGGTGCGCACGCACCACTAGACAGAACTTTACACACAAGCAAACACGGCTTGGGTAACGCAGGAAAGCGCGTTCCTATAGTATAGTAAAGTAGTGTAGTTACCGATATTTTTAGTGTAATGCGTTACTTTACTTCGTTACCCAAAAAAGTAATATCGTTACTGTAATCCGTTACTTTGTAACTCGTTACCCCCAACACTGGTACAGACATACCAGTTCGGCCAGATTCGGCTCGAAGTCGTTCATCTTCGGATGCGGCGCCGCGCGCCATGTTACAAAAAGTGCCGTGCACACCGCCAGGCGAAATGGGGTCTTGCGCACCCAACGCGCACGACCGCCCACACCGCAATGACGTCATTTTTGCCGCGCGCACTTCGCGCTCTTGCGGACGCGTCGAGTATAAACAAGGCTTTACCCTCCTCGAGTCAAACGAGTGCGCGCATGTAGCAGCGGGGGTGTTGCCATGGTTGCGAGAGAGTGACAGTCGCCTAAGCCAATCCATTGTTTCGTCCCGGAAGGAAATAATGAGCTGTGTTTAGTGCAGATTAAACGGTCTAGAGTCACTCGATTTTTATACTCTTTTTATCAGAGTACTTACATTTTAATTATGCATTGATATATATAGAAAGTTTAAACAGATTTGGGAAAAAGTTTTTTATAAAATTTCTACCTACAATACCTTTAAGTAATGTCATGAGTCAAATGTTAACACACTGGATTATGCTCTACTGCAGTCATTGTTAAATGATTGCTGTGCAATTACTGATATTTCAGATTGTATTTAATGAAACGAGACTGTATTTTTCCTATGTCTGTTGCACAGGAATGTTGGAAATAATTGGGATAATTTTACTCAATAATGTTGATTGCTCTTGTGTCGAATTCAGAGAAGTTTATAGTTTCTTTTATAATTGATCATTTGTGTTGGAAGTGACTTGTTTGTATGGAATATGTATTTGAGGAAAATAAAATCAGACTTTTTCTTCTTTGTAAGTCATGTTTTCTTTATAAGTGACCAATAAGACAGCTAGTATCCTTTATTGTGATCGTAATGACATGCGCTATTCGCATTCACCACTAGAGGGCGTGGGAACAGCAGCATTTTTCTTCTGTTCAATGGCTGACATTGAACCAGGGTTAAATGAATATAACACTATATTTTGAAATCTTTAGAAATTTTTTGTCTCGAGGCTGAAACTTTCCAGCTTCAAGAAAAAAAGAAACAACAAGAAAACTTCCATTCATGACTTATCAAGTCGACATTGCTGAAATGAACCCTTTATTGTGTCATTTAAAATCATCAATAAAAAAAAAATGCTTGACATCCATACAGTACATTAACTAAAGCACCACTAAGATGTTAATATACAAACCAAAGCCTTTTTAAAATCACTGTCAAGCATGTCATTTATAGCACCTGATGTGTTCAAAATACAAATGATTTTTAGCACCTGATTCCTTAGGCAACAATTGTGTTCCGTTTTACTTTTCCTCAGCTCCATTTCTTTAATTAATCATCTCAGAATAAATACATTCCTGAGATCCGGATTCTGTAGTCCAGACTGAAGCCGGATTAAGATACTAAACTAACAACCAGCTTGTATTGAAGACTCTTTTAAGTCATGTGTTGGGTAGAGATCTTTAACTTGTGGTTTCAGAACATTTAATCTTGCTCTCCCTCTCTATATTTCTATCATCTGAGTCTCTCTCAAGTGGATTATTGCTACTGAACTAGGAAAACCACATACATCCTGTTTAACGTCAACTAAAAGCCCCCCTCCTTCCAATAAACAGAGCCAGACACCAACACACACACACACACACACACACACACACACACTCAAATCTGACTTTCTCAGGGCTCTCTGCCCATTAAAAACTGGCAAATTACTTGTTTTTTATGGCGGTTTCTTGAAATACACTACCGTTCAAAAGTCTGGGCTCAGTAAGATTTTTGTTTGGTTGCACTTTATTTTACAGTACATGCCTAAGAAAGTAATATAAGGTAACTACATTGGTTACGGTTAGGTTTAGCATATTAGAATGATTTCTGAAAGATCATGTGACAATGAAGACTGGAGTAATGATGCTGAAAATACAGCTTTGATCATAGGAATAAATTCCAGTTTAAAATATATTAGAAAACAGTCATTTGAAATTGCAATAATATTTCATAATATGACCATTTTTGAGAACAAGAGACTTCTTTCATAAAAAGATCTAAAAAAAACCCAACCTCAAGCTTTTGAACAGTAGTGTATATTAGACAACCATCTACCAAACCCTAGCAACCACACAGCAATCCACCCAGAACATCCTACAGCAACCTCATGCTTCAATGTGATGAACTTGTTCTGTTACGACTCCAGTTGCCTGTTAATGTCTGTTAAAGGTCAGAAAGACCAGCAGCAGGATCAAATAGTCAGTCACACCATATAAACATCCTTTCACAACTAACATAAACCAGTTTCCATTTCCCAGACGCTGCTGATAAATCTTAGGAAGACCCTGCCTGATTTGAAAAGGTCTAAACACAGACCTATCTGGGCTATACATCAGTGGTCCTCAACTGGTTTTGCTTCAGATTTCAACTGTTTATTATCCAGTAGTTAACAGAACTGTCCCTAAAATCTAACATTTGTATTAATATTACCATGAATCTGGTTTTATGCTCTTGACAGACAATAATTCAAAACATGTGGTTGGCACCAAACCCCATATCTGATGTAGCATACGTTCTTTGCTTTGCATACATTTGTTTTTGAAGATAACTTTGCACAACCTGCCCATGTGGGCATCCGTCTAATTTGACAAGCTTTTACCATGAAATTAAAATAACACCAACTTACTGTATTTTGTATAGATACTGTATAGTTTGGACGCACAGCTTTTGACGTCAACAGCAAAAGATATGGGAAGTGTTTTCTCCTCCTTTTTTAGATACAGGTGTTTACATGATCAGTTGCATTTTTCATTTTGTATTTAGCATTGTTATTCCATCAGAACAGACCCGCGGCCCATTTTTGGGTCGTGATCCACCAGTTGAGAATCGTCGGACTTCATTTTGGACACAGTTACTGGTTTTCTTCATACAAGACTTATGTGGAAGTATGAAAATAAAATTTCTCTGCACTGCATTTGGGGGGTTTCGTTTAAACTGCAGAAATCTAAAATGAAATGTTTGGATGCTTTTCACCGCTCAAGCATTTTGGCCCATTTCCAAACATCTTGTCCTTCCTGCCGTCGTTTCTGGTATCACTCAGTCTCAGGCTTGATGAGGTATCCGTTAAAGGTGATGTAAATGTCCACGTCGTCGCTGTAGATGGCGTTCTCACGCTCCCGCTTGTAAAGACGGGCCCAGACCTCGTCGCCCTCCTGTAGACGCAGCATGACGCTCTGGCTCTGCATGATGGAGCGGTCGCTGGGCTGAGCGTAAACGATGGCCCTCTCGCTGTCGTTCTGCATGATGTGCAGGTACGTCTCCTTGAAGTTCCACGTGTGGATGTTCACATTGAAGAAGTAGATTCCCGGTATGTGGCAACGGTACTTCCCAGCAAACATGTCAAAGTGTTCGGGGGTGTTGACGAAGATGGTGTCAAAGATCAGGGCCTGGTAGTTGTCAACGCTGTGAAGGGACTTCCGTCGGCCGACTGAGAAAGCAGAGTGCTGAGACTTGCAGGCGTCACCTGGGGCTCCGGCTTGTCCCTTATCTCCTTGAAGGCCTTCAGACCCTCGTGGTCCCGGGGAACCCTCAATCCCAGGCTTCCCAGGAGTGCCCCTTTCTCCACGGTCACCCTTGTCACCTTGAAAAGATGCAGAAGGAAAAAGAGCTAGAAGCCTAAAGGAAACTAAATCAAGTATTAGGCTATAATTCAGGTTAACATTATAAACATTTTTACAGTTTTTAACCTTATAAAGCCTGTATATTTGATACACTAATTTCTAAAGGCCTCTAAATTATCAACATATACACAATCAATGCCAATATATTTTTTAGCAAGTAAAATGCCTTTTAGTATAATTCTAAAAACATCCCCCTTCAGATCGTGACACGTGTCTTTTTTCAGTGAACTTTTATAAATTAAACGTTATACGAGTAATATTTCAAAACGAACACTTACTAGACTTACAACTTAGGTTTACTTAACTATTCATACATCTTTTTTTTTTTTTTTGAAAAATCATATTAAAATGTGAGTTTCAAATATGATTCATCAGGCTTTTGAGGAACGTTTATTTGTCCATTTCTCAATCATCATTGTATTTCATTGCATTACATGTTTTTCCCCCACAGTAAAAACTACAGAGCTTTGTCATAAAATTAAGCATTTAATGATCATCTTTCTAAGATATAATACTGAGAGATATTGAGTGAAATCTGATATATATATATACATATATATAGTAGTCTCTTATACTGTTAAACAGATCTCACATTAAAAGCTTCATATTAAGATTTCATCTGACTTTTGTTTTCATATAAATAACAACATCTGCAGCAAATGACATATTTTTGCTCAGTTTGGTCTTTTGAATAAAATCTAGGTCTTTTTTCCCCCCCACCTCGAGTATGAGCTCCATATTCTCCTATATCATACTATAACCATAAAAGTCTGATGTAGCAAATATGATACTTTAAAAAAAAACACATGAAAACTTTGTTTAAACATTTGTTTTTTTAATGATTCAATAAAGTGTTCCATTTAGAAATTAGATTTTTATTTTTCAGGCTTTACAGGGTTAAATAACTTGCTCAGCAAGATTCTCTTCAAACCTTTGCTCTGCCATGACAGTATTAGACCTGAAAACCGACCATAGATCAAGGCAATTTTTCCTAATTCAAACAAAATCGTTAAGTTCTTCTTTCACAATTGGTTGTTGCAGGATACTTAAAGGGATAGTTCACCCAAAAATGTAAATTGTTATCATTTACTCACCCTCAAGTTGTTTCAAAACATGAATGGGTTTCTTTCTTCTGTTGAACAACAAAAGAAGATATTTTGAAGAATGTTGGTAACCAAAAAGTTGACGTAGCCATTGACTTCCTTAGTAGGAATAAAATACTATGAAAGTCAATGGGCCACATCAACTGTCTGGTTACCAACATTCTTCAAAATATATTATTTTGTGTTCAACAGAAGAAAGAAACTCATACATGTTTTGAAACAACTTGAGGGTGAGTAAATTATAAAAATGATTTGGGTGAACTATCCCTTTATACAGTGTATAAAGTGTAATCTTTGAGTACACAGTGTATTCTCCATGGGAAAATCTCAGAGTAAAACTGTGAGTTGTGAAAAATATGATACATCGGTGTTTTGCCTAATGAGTAGTTTATCTATGTATCATCTTTTTACTCTTTTAATTAATTTTATAACTGTATCATATATCTCTTTTAAATTCTTTTATAACCGTTTTAATTTTCCTTGCTTTTATTTTATGATTATTTTTATTTTAAAGCACTTTGAATTCCCATAGTGTATGAAATGTGCTATATAAATAAACTTGCCTTGCCTTGCCTTTAATGCATTAACTAATGTAAATTAGTTGAACCTAATTATAAAGTGTTCCTATACCAATGTTGAAAGCCGAAAAGGCACAAGCGCAATTTCTGGCAGACTAAAATAAGTCCTCAGAATCTCAAAAAAAAAAAAAAAACGCACTTAACTTGGGCTCAGTTTCTTTTCTTTTGTCCATCTTTGTCGTACTCAAAATTTCCACAAACCACATTTTCCTGCAGGCTTCATTTCCATACATGCAACAAACACATACACATATGTGCGTGCACAGACACATAAAACAACTCTCTCGTAACAGTTCTCGCCACATCAGCACCTTTCCTGCCAGCTTTGTCACTTCCTGTCCACCAAGAGGTCCTCCAGCAGAACAGATATTTCTGAGCCAAGAGAGGTTAACTGAGGCTCACTGAGGGGAAGAAAGCAGCTAAAAACACATATTCCACCATTCAGCTCAATAAACACCTTATTTCCCAGTTGAATTACAGTTATGTTCAGTTTGCAGTTCAGTTCCAATAACCCAAAATGCTTGTGCCAGACAAAAGACAAGCAAAAGATTGGGAAACAGGGAAAACTGAAATCCAACAAGGATCACTGGGGTCAAAATTCAGCTATACACTCCTAGAAGAAAAGGTTCTATATAGAACCTTAAATGATTCTATCAGGCGCTTCATAGAACCTTTTAGGGGTTCTCATCATGGGATGGTTATATGGATTTAGTTTTACCATTTAGATGGTTAAATTAAATTTGTTTTAAATGAAATTTTATGAACGAAACAGCTTGTAAATATACTTTATTATCAGAAAAAAATGAATAACCTGTTAAAGATTAAAGTATTATGCAATCATTTAAGACATTTAGGCATAAAAGAGTTCTTTAAGTCAAGAATCTACGGGTTCCAAATAGAACCCCATTGAACCTTTGTTCTAAGAGTGTACAGTGAGATTTTCAAAGTTCTCCCTAGCTATAGTTTCTGCTGATGCTATTTGACTCTGAAACATCGCACTTTGTCTCGAGCTAAAAGCACTTTTTGAAGACTTTCGGGTACCTTTGAGAATGGTCATGTTGATGTATGTGCGGACCTCAGGCACGCTTTCTCTTAAGGTTGCGGCGTCATCTAGTCGTGGGAGGTGGTCGCAGCATCGACGGCAGGGCGGTTGAGGTACGCAGACTACCAGATGTGGAGACAGACAGGCAAGCAGGAGGAACCCAAACATGGTGCGACCTGAGAAAAGAGAACAAATACGCACTTAAAAGAGTCACTCCCTATAATAACGTTCCACACACTGTTGTTATTTCGCTAATGTGAGACTGTGTATTTATTAGTGGGATCGTTAAGGTAGACTGGATTAGTGTAATCCTGATAAATAGAAAGAGAGGGGCTTCTGGGTAGTGCTGAGTGGAATGCAGCCTGACAAATGTAGGCCCCTTCAGGAAACAGATTAATGTTTCTGTTGTTCCGAGTCCAACCTGCACACATTACTACAGCTAAACTAACAGAGTTCAGTCTGTCTGCCTGTCTTTTTCCCCACAGACAGAATCCAGCTCAAATCTGCCGAAGTTCATCTGCTAATTCTCATGAGATAAAATGTTAAAACGCTTCCAAATTCATGTCTGCTAAGAATGTATGATGTTAAAATACTTTCTGTACTGATACTAATCATAGGCTGAATGCCCTGAAGAGTGTAAACACTGTGGTTGTGTTGAATTTCCATTGAATCATATAGCGCCAATCAGATGGAGACTGCTGTGCAATTATTCAAATGAACTTTTGCCATGCTGTCAATGATTATGGTATAATGTACTTCAGATTAACTGGCCCAAAGTAGCAAAAAGAAAAAAAAGAAGAAAAAAAAAAAACCTGGCTGGATGCTTTAGCCTGCATGTAGGTCAAACATCTCTTCCTGTCTAAGTGAGCAGCTTCTTGGTCAAAAAAAGGGGAATATAAATCAGTGGATTATATAAAACATCATATAATCAAGATGAAAAGCCTAAAAATCACATTCCTTGTCGGTGAAAGACGGGGGTTGACCAGCAAATATATATATAAACCAACATCATTCAAGAAGGCAAAATGGAAAATGATTGTTAATTTTTTTTTCTTCTGTTTTCAACATTTATAATAAGAATACAATGTTCCTGAGCAGCAAATCAGCATAATATAATGTTTCTGAAGGATCATGTGACACTTAAGACTGGAGTAATGATGCTGAAAATTCAGCTTTGACATCACAGGAATAAATTACATTTAAAATATATGCAAACAAAACACTATTATTATTATTATTGATCAAATAAATGCAGCCTTGGTGAGCAATAAAAGACTTCTTTCAAAAACAATAAAAACTTTTACAGACCCCAAACCTATGAACGGAAGTGTACGTTTGAAACAGAAGCTCAACTCCACTAATAAATGCATTCGGTCATGTTCACCAAGCCATAAAGGATCATTCAGATGCACATGGTGAACATGTCAGCACCAAATCTGTGTTTCCAGGTTCCTGAGTGAAGAGACCAATAAGTGTGTTTGACTTTTGGATCTCACTTGGAAAGCAGCAGCACAGCTGGGAGGATCTGCAATATAGTATCATGCTCTTCTTTGTGGTGAGCTTTATTTTGAGTGAGAGCATTTTTTATGATCTGAAGGCAGGCTCTGTATTACGTCAGACTAACAGGCTGTTGAGTCTGACATGAGACCCATAAGAAAATTAAAGCTTTTGGTAATGCTAGCATGAAACGTCTCAACTCAACTCGCTAAAAGTCAAAATTAAAAGGGTTAGTCATAAAACTTTCATGCTAATTTCCATTGCAAAAGTGCAGGCGACAGAAATACATTGACTTGTATTGAATAATTATGGGATCAACCATGACTCAAATTCATACAAAACATAATCAGTCCTTGACTAATTGATAAACAAACAAATGACAACACATCACATTCTAATCCAAAGGTTTTCAAACACAGATTATTTTTGTAAAAATAAATACAATGAAATTAATACACATTAAATATAATAAAAATACACTATTACAATAAATGTACGCTAACTTTTGGCCTTCTAGCGGTTAAAAACAAAACTTCGTGCATATTGCGGAAGAACATTGTTTTGGTTGTGCTTCGGCTACGTGACTGCGCGGATGAATGCGGTTATCTGTTGATTAAACATTCATTAGATATAACCAGTTTAGATGGAAACCATCTCAAGCTGACAAGCTGAAGACATTACTGTAGCTTTTACCCATAAATAGACACGGTAGTACTTTGCAAATAAATCCCAGTAACGTTACAGCTACTACAACAACCATAATGAAATGACCCTTCACAATAGACAATGCTTTACAATGAACTGTTAGAGCTACATTTGGCAATTTATCTGTTCAACAAAATACCTTACTCACCTGTTGAGTAATAAAAAATCTCCGCCTTTACAACATCTGAGGCTCAAATTATTTCCACTCCCAAGCCATACACGCGTCAATAGCTGGAGCAACGTTTCTCTATTTACGGATTATGACGAGACACGCGAGCGAGTGACGTAGGCTATGTAGGCTACACAATTTACCACGAAAATCCCGCCTTGTCTAAATAAACACTTACCATAGTGAATCAGGGTCAGACAAAAACACCTTTTGAAAGAATTCATGATGTATTGGCTCATTATTAAAAATATATATAGTGTAGGCCTTTTAAATAAAGCTAAAATTCAGGTAAATGTTCCATCGTCCATTCAATAAGACAGTATATCAAGTAAAATTAAAATGTTTTTAATAGCTGCAGCAATTTAAGTAAATCCTTTATTAAAACGTTCTAAAACAAAATACATCAAGTCTGTCTTCCAGTATTACTGTAGCCTATACTGTAAAACAGCAGGCGGATTTCAGCCGGCAGAGCATGAACGCTTTCCACATGCTCCCTGTCTCGGCAGCTGTCCATCTGCTGGAAAGATGTTAACTAGCTCGCAAAAACTTTCTGAGCACTGTAACTTACAGATCACCTTAATGAGGCTGCACAGTTTGCTTACAAAAATTGCCCTAAACAAATTTTCCTTTATAAAAAGCCTAAATGAACTAAAGCAGTGCATTTCTGGTGTGATTGAATGTGCATGTGTGTGTGTGTGTGTGTGTAAGCAAAACTTACAGTACTTTGTGATGTGTTTGCTGCTGCCGTTGGGTCAGTGCGCCGAGAAGAGAAAAAGAAAAGGGAAAAATCCTCAGTCAGATCATTTCTCCCTCCCTCTTTCTCTCTCCCACCCTTTCTTGCTTTCTAATTCACCCCCAGTGCCTTTCTTCCATCCCATTCCTGAACATAAACTCAAAGAACCTCCTGGCTGAGACAGACTTTCCTATTTATTTTACTCTTCTTCGTTTTCTCCCTTTCTCTAATATAAAGTGTCGGTCAAACTTCTCCATGAAAGGTAAATCTATGTCCAAACAAACGGTTTTCAGAAAGATCAGTTTTTGTCTGTTTCTTTCAGAAGTTTCCCTGTTTATTAGAACAAAGTAAACCATGTGAACATTTAGAAACATAAACATTTATAAGCAGCACACACACAAACACAAGTGAACTCGCTCAGAAACTCAATGTGGCCTGTATAGCATTTGCAGGATGCAGCTTGTTACACGAATAGCCAAGATTTTGGTCTTTAGAGGCCCATGTTCATCTCCCAGAACAATTTCACAACTTGCTAGTTCACCATGCACTTCTGTGGAAACACATTAGTTTTTCTATCATGGTGGGATCTTTCCTCTGATTTGTATTGGTTTTATACTGAGCTAATGGTATTTTCTACATTGTATTCTTAAACCAAATTACATAAACCTTACCTACATTTTCAGCTGTTTTCCGCATTCAATCATCCCACAATTTAGACAAAACCTGACCCGCACACATGTTTACTTATCTAAATGAGAATATACTTTATTCTATACCTAAAATATACATATTTTTATACCTTATATATAAAAGAATTAGCCTACTATAGATCCCCTATACTCCTAAAAGACACTTGTATTATTTTTCTAATAATAAAAAAAATTCAAATGTGAATTGTTCCCTAATTATGCTGATGCATCCCACAAAGCTCTCAACCGACATGCACTCATCTGAAGATACAATGCTTTGCTGAGATGCAAGCAGCATTTACAATATAACAGATATAACATATCATAAATGCTTTGCTGCTTCCAGAAGTAGGAATGTGGGTTATTTACGTTCATTTGGAATAATGGGGTATTCCAAGGTAATTAGAAATAATAAGAGAATAAGTAGTTGGAGTAACCGTCAACTTTAACAATAGTGCTCACAAATGATAGCCAATACGGCAGGCTTTACGTGTCAGCAATGGACCATAAAAAAAAATCTAGAGTAACAAAAGAAGGACATTTGAGGTTCTGTGAATATTAAATGTAACACACACCCTTAGAATACACATACTCATCTGTTTAGCATTAGTATGTCTGGGTCACTGGTTAAATTCCTGTTACTTATGCAATAGTAATCATCTCGTTCTCTCCATATGGAAAGAAAATTAAGGTCTGTCATTGACCTCTGATTGACAACAGGCTGATTTTGTCCTCTACTGCATTCCTCTCCATATGCTTCCTCATTTTCCTTTCAATAATGTTGTCCAACATTGTCCTCTGTGGCTTTGCACGCATAATTATTCTCCGTTAACATCAGGATCTGTGAAAAACATCATTATGAAGCTTTTCTTTTTGGGTTTATACTCTCTGGAGTGTTTGGATATAACATAAATTAAAGGAATAATTCACTCTAAAATGATCATTCACCATTTACTCAGCAATTGCGATGTCATTTCAATCTTCTGTTTCTTTCTTCTGTGTGGAACACAAAAAAAGATATTAGGGAAAATGTTCATTCTGAGGAAAAAAGTCAGAATATCTGATATAATAAACTCGGAGTCGCGAGGGAAAAAGTCAGAATTGTGAGATTTACACTTGAAATTACCCCCTTTTTTTATTTATTCCGTGGCTTCCATAAACTGCTACAGTCAAATGTAGGATAGGCAATTTCGGAACGCCTAGCAGTAGCAAGCTAGCTTTGAAAGCATAAGATCCCACCGTCCCTTCAGAGCGTCTCCAAAGCCACACCTCCTTCAAAACACATGAACACACAGCAAGAGCAGAGTCTGCAAAGCGTCACGAGAGACGACGTTAAATTACCTCATATCTCAAAGCACATAACATTACGATAATAATGATCGTAAACAACTTAAAGAGCTCTTACTTACCACCTGGCTGCTGCAGATTAATTTCGGCATGATGGCGTTCATAGAAACGCATAAATCCAAGTCTGAGGCCGTGAACAGCTCCCGGTAGAACGTCACTGGTTGCCATCTCTTAATGGTTACGACATTGCGTTAACACAGCATAAGGTTGTTGTTTTGGTTCAGGAGGAACAGTAAAATATGACTGCAGCTGTTTGTTTACGGCGCATGGTGACTGTGTCTACAATGTGCTGATGATGTGTGATGTCATCAGGTATGGAAATACATACGTTGACAGGCAGATATAGGGCATCGTATCATTGCATTACTGGACGAATATTTTCTGGTCCTGAGACTTCCACAAAATACATGTTTTAATATTTAGACCACTCCTATTATTGATTGCTATCAGGATGTGAAGAGAGTTTTTTAATCAGTATAACTAAAAGTGTTTATAAAAATTGCCTACCCTACCTTGAAACTGTAATTTTCTGGCACCCGGTAGGCTCCGCCCACAAAACACATCATCGCTGGTTCCAAACACTCAAATGGTCTGGCATTGCTAATAAAAGTATGAAATTCTTTCATTATTTAAAAAAAAAAAAACAAAAATCTTACTGATCCCAAACTTTTGAACGACGGTTATGTATGAAAGGTGGGATAACTGCTATATTGTATGTTTTGATCCCACTAGTTCATACACTTATAAGCAGTCTGTCTCCTCCTCGCTGATACCTCAGTCATGAGCTCACTACTGCCATCCAGTGGAGAGATCAACCGTTAGACCCAATTTCCTCACAGTCACAGACGGTCAAATCCAGTCAGGAGCACCTGACTGAATGCCACGCTGTATGACAGGGATCATCAAACACAACGCACTCAAAAAGGTAAGTCACGTAAGTTAAAAAGCGTGTTATTTCTCCACCTTCTCTCCGAAGACTATTTCGTTATGGTTCACTGAGTTCATTTTCCAGGCCACACATTTAAGCTTGACTTTGACTGGTTACACAAGCCAAAGCTGTGAACGGAAACGGGCTGGCACTTATAAATGTCAGACCACATAGTACCTGCAATAACTTCTCTCTCACACACACACACACACACACACACACACACACACACACACACACACACACACACACACACACACACACACACACACACACACAAGCTTTTTTGTAAACATGACACTTACAGCATTATATTTTTGGGGGATTTTATTGCAGTCTCAACAATAACATATAAGTAAGAACTATGACTTATAATAAACAAAGTAAAAAAATGTAAGAAACATAAAATAAGTATCAAACAAGTGCATTCTTTGTTAAGATAAAAAAGCATATTTCATAAAAAAAAATTAATGAAATAAAATGGCTTATTCTTGCGATTTCTAAAAGGTACAATCCAGAAATGCTCAAATAATACCACAAAAGTCCTTAAAAAAGTTCTGTTAGAAAATGTACAGATAGCAGTATAAATGAGTGTTGTAATATCTCGAGAGATTTTTACCTTGAAAAGCCTTTACGCTTCTGCATACTTCAAAATGACACCCTGAATTTCTAAAAATTCACATTTGAAAAGCAGCATTTATACCATGTTCGTAGCATTCCGTGGCATTAAACATGAAATAACAGTAAATAGCAGCTAAAAATCAAGCAAATGCTTTGCACTCGAACTTGAATATTTAAAATGTGGAAACTTTTGGAGACTTGAACAAGTAAATCAGTGCATGAAAATATGAAATGTTAGCAACATAAAGGTAATTGTCATCACTAACCTTTTAACAGTTAAAGTTATAAAAGCTATATTCAAATTAACATCTGCTAAATAAAATCTTACTAAATGAATAAAGCAGACTCTTAAAGGGACAGTTCACCCAATTTTTTTTAATTCTGTCATCCACTCCCCCTCAAGTTGTTCTAAACCTGCATAAAGTTCTTTCTAATGCTAAACACAAAAGATGATATTTTGAAGAATGTGGGTAACCAAACAGTTTCTAGTCCCCATTGAATCTTCCTTTTTTTTATTTTTTTTATTTTCTATAAATGTTTACGGAATTTTCATTTTTGTGTAAACTATCCCTTTAAGACACATTTAAACACATTTGTAAAAGAAAATGTTTTGGGTTCAGAACGTTAAGCTCAATCAGCATCTCTGGCATTCTGCCAATTACCATGGACAAATATTTTAATGTATCCCTCAGTTTGTAAAAACAGAATAGCTTTTTCCCCTGTAATGCATTTACAATGAAAGTCTATGGGGCAAGACATTCCAGAGGGCATGAAAACTGAAATGTAAAGCTAGCAAAAAAACCTGTTTTTTGAGCTGTAAATGTGTCTATATCGATTGCAGTGGCACTGACATTCAATTATTTAACCCAGAACATGCCTTTAAATCTAGCTAGATGTCGCTGTACAAACGTATCTAAGCTGTTATAATGCAGCTGTTGAGGATCTTTGAACTATTTGTGACTGTTTAATTCATTCAAATGGAATATAGTAAAGTATAAAATTTGCAGAGTTATGCAAATAAACTATGTAGGGGAGACCGGGGCAGGTTGTCACAATGGAGGGGGTCACAAGGGCTAGTAACTATGAGGTTTTGAGTCAAAAGTCCAATTTCATAAACGTGTGGGTTTTTCTCTAGCAATGGCTCTTAAAGGTGTCATGAAATAAAAAGTAACCCTATTTACAGTGTTAACGCACATTACCAGTCTTGTGGTAAACAATTAATCTGTGCAATTTAATCCATAGAATGTACATTTCCTGAAGTGGTGCTTGCTTACGGTTACTTGGGTACTTTATATGGTTACTATGGTGTGCTTAGACTGTCAACTAGTCTTTAAATATCATCTCATAAACTGTATGAGTCAAAAAAGCCGAACTCCATATTTCTACTACTTTCTGGAGCTGAAATATGTAAATGTTGTTTAATGCTTGCTAGGGTGGCCTAAGTGGTTGCTAGGGCGTGGCTATGAAGTTATTATGTCACTACTTATTGGCTGATTGATAGGATGAGTCAAAAGAGCCCAACCCCAAGTCTCTGACCTTCTGGTCAAAAGACATGATCTCAAAAATTTTGTGCCGTTAAGTCTATGGGACTTTTTTCAGCAGATTTTTCGCCCGCCGGACGAACATCACACACCCGATCACTTAGAAAAGATATAGCACACCTCTCCTCAATAAACCGGTCGATTTGACACCTCATTCATGGGTCTACGAGAAACAGTGCGGGAGGAGTTAGCTAGTTTTTAGCAAGATGCTAACAAAATTAGCATGTTGCTAACATGATTGGTGTGTTGTTAGCATGATGCTAGCATGTTGCTAGGCGCATCTTGGTGGTAACTAGGGTGTTGCTAGGTGGTTGCAAGGGTATTCTGGGTGGTTGCTATGTTGTTGCTAGGGTATTCTGAGTGGTTGCTAGGGCATTGCAAGGCAGTTTCTTGGGTGTTCTGGGTGGTTCCTATAGTGTTGTTAGGCGGTTGCTAGGGTATTCTGAGTGGTTGTTAGGCAGTTGCTAGGGTATTTTAGGTGGTTGCTATGGCATTGCTAGGGGGTTCTGGGTGGTTGCTAAGGTGTTCTGGTGGTTGCTAGGGTGCTGTAACTGGTTGCTAGGGTGTGGATATGAAGATTTTAGGCCATTACTTATTGGCTGCTTGATAATTTAAATCATCTGAGTGAGAGAGAGAGGGTGAGAGACTTTCAAAAATGAACCTACCCAGAGGCACCAGTGTCCCCTATACAGACAGAGATGGACTGCACCTGCGCTTAGATGGATTTGTTGCTGTATTTCTGCATCTCCTTCAGGGTCAAATATCCACTCCCGCAGGGCTCAATCAGGGAGGAGGGTCTGACCACAGCGCCCTCTGCATGCTCAGAGGTGGAACTACAGCTGGGTGCTCTCACAGGTTCAGGCCACGGTGTGATGATGGGCACCGGAGCGAAATTCTCTGCTGGGCGAACAGCACCGAGGGAACCTTGCAGTGACATAATGAAAGAAACCAGCGCATGTCCTTCCACCTCGGCATCTTGGTCTTCATCATCTTGGTCTTCCTCACAATTCTGCTCTCCAGGTATGTCGAACCCTGAATCAGGGCTCATCGGCTGTTCCATCTGGTAACTTGGGGTTTGCAAACAGTCATATGAAGACCCAGGCGACGAGAGGGCGGAGCTTGTGCCTTCCTCAGGGTGATAGGTGAAGTACACGGGGCAGGATTCGAGGTAAAGAGAGCCCGAAAGCGATTTGCTATAGAAGTAGCCCATGTTAGAGAAACCAGATGATGAAGCATGGCTGGTGCCGCTGTTTTCAAGTCCAGAGTCCATCTGATTGGAGTGAACAAGCGCAGCAGTAGACATCTGAGCGTCCGGATCCAACAAGGACAGGTCCCAAATATCAGAGATTTCTACAGGTAAGATATCGTCACATGACTGAGGGGTAAGAAATGGCCCGTCTGAATTTTGACAGCCCAGCCAATTCTGTGGACAGGAAAGAGGAAATGCATGTGGTCAGTGTGTGGTTTGTTTTTCTGGCTTGCTGAAGGAAGATATGAGTAAGCATTTGCAAGAAATGCAGGTCTAGGCCACATCTGTAAACTTGGGTGTGTGTGAGAGTTTGTACTGCTAAGATTTTACATTGGAAGAAAAATGTGTGAACCTGATAATGTTGTTGATACTCTCATACATTTCTGCATGCTCAACTGCGTTGGTGTGAATTCACAACAAAGAAAGTGAAAAGAGGGAATTGCCACAATACTGGTAAAAACAGTAATATCACCGTGAGTAAGTTTGATTCAGCAAGGTTGCATTAAATCAAACAAAAGTGACAGTTCAGACATGTATAATGTTACAAAATATTTATATTTCAAATAAATGCTGCTCTTTTGAACTTTCTATTCATCAAAGAATCCTGAAACAATTATGTTTCCACAAAAATATTAAGTAGCACAACTGTTTTCAACACTGATAGATGTTTCTTGAGCATCAAATCATCATATTAGAATGATTTCTGAAGGATCATGTGACACTGAAGACTGGCGTATCAATCACCCCAGGAATTAATTACACTTTAAAATATATAAGATGAGAATGAGACCAAAATGAAAATATACGCACACACACACACACACACACACACACACACACACACACACACACACACACACACATATATATACAGTTGTGGTCAGAATTATTGGCACCCCTGGTAAATATTTTTTACAGCTATCTTTGAGCATATTTATCAGGGGTGCCAATAATTCTGACCACATGTATATATATATGTATATATATATATATATATATATATATATATATATATATATATATATATATATTGTAATAATATTTCACAATACTACTGTTTTTGCCATATTTTTGATCAATCAAATGCAGCCTTGAGACTTCTTTTAAAAACATTAAACATCTTACCAACCCCGGTAACGTTTGAACGGTAGTGTAGCTGGAAACTAGTTGTGAATAGCATAGTACAAATGCAGGAGATACAGCAGAACTCACTTGGAAGTTTCCACCGTGAACGGTGTGAAGAGGCTGGAAATATCTGGATGGGTCTGGAACATGTTGATGGTTTGGTTTTAATAACCTGCAAAGAAATAATAATTCTTGATACAGATGCACAAACGAACACAAATATCAGGTACAAAGACCAACGGTTACATACTTACACGGAAATACTGTAGGTAGAAACATACACACAGACGCCTACATAGCACTTTCCACAGATAGGGTAAAAAAACTAGGCCTTGAAACGTCTTAAAAATGAGGTCAAATATTTGCTCTTTTCTAACAAAGGGTCAATAACAAGGCTTTACCCTTCACAAAATATTCGTCCACTCCAGGAGGTCAAACTAAATATTAATACTTTATTTTCTACATATTATCTACTTATACACTGTTACAAACTTTGGATCATTTGTTGAAAATACATAACTGAATAAATAAAAAAATAATAAAAAAATGTACAAAATAAAATAAAAGAGAAGGGGCAAGAAAAAGTCGATGAGGATGGGTTACTAAATAAAACACATACACATCTAATACTCACCGGTTGCTTTTCTTTATCTTATAGATGACCAAAGAAAGACCAGAGAGAACAAGCAAGACATGGAAGCCAATGATCAGAACTACACGCATATCATCAGGCACTGATGGAGAAAAAAGATGAAAACTGCTGTCATAAAATATATGATGATCTTAGCTCACAAACAAATATTACTATAAAATATTACTAGGCTGGCAAGAGGCCCCACCTTGGGATGATTCTTCATCCCCTGGTTTCACTAATGGCTTTCCAATCTCAGACCTCCAGGACACAGCAGGACTCCAGTGGCTCCATTCCCCCTGAAAGTAACCACTATTTATGGGTTCAACAGGCTTCACACGCACCCTGGCCTGGTACTCTTCTCCTACAGTCAGGAAATGATGGTTCAGCAGCACGTAACTTTCATGAGAGATATTCCAATGTCTTGCCATCTGTAAAATCATATATGCACATAAAAAACACACACAAAAATAATAAAAAAAAAACAACAACACTCAAAATAATTTTGTAATTGACTTGGATGTGTCAAAATGAGTGCCATTTTATTTTAATAAGACATTAGGGTAAATGTTGAATCAAACACAAATGTTTGCTTACCTCCCAGCTTGTATGTGTGGCTTTAAACTGCAACTGGAATTCATACTCCTTTATGTCTTGTGGAAAGTTACTGCCTTTACTCCAAGTTATGTTATCCCTGCTTACAGTGGGTTTATCTGGTGGTTGCGTCTTAACTGTCATTCAAACAAACAAACAAACAAATACATAAAACCCAACAAGAGAACAGTTACATTGATAAACATGTAGAGTATGTTGCTAGTAACACCAAAGTCATCATGGGTTCAATTGTTCTCAAGGAATCCAGGAACTAATCAAATGTATACTTTGAATGTGATGAGTCACAAATGCATAAACGTAAATGTAAACAAAAAAGCAACATCCTCAGCCCCATCTCATAGCAATCGGGGTGTGGATTATTGTGGGGTTGCAGTGTCTGAACCCTCTAATTATGGCTTGAATGGCAAAAAAACAAACAAAAGGTTTGGGTGTGTGTAATAGACAGATTTCATTTTACATATAGCATAAAGATTGACGTCATGGGGTCTCTCTTGGGAGCCCAATCACCTCCAAGAGGTAACAGAACGAGCCAATGAACATTGGCCAGTGAGATTTGCATGCAAAGTCACACCCACTCGGACATATGGGTATAGGTCCGGCATTACTCACTTCATTCATGTTTTGCTTCTGAGCTGGGCGGTTGTGATTCGATCGCTCATTCCATTCACCTTCTAACAAGAACAGTAAATTTCTTCAAAGAGCAAACAGCAATTTTAATTGCTATCAGGAGAAATATTCCAATACAGCTATTTTAATTGCTGTTTTGTCTTGCAGCTCCTCGTAGGATCTCTCTGCCGATGTGAAGGTGCTTTCCAGCGGTGTCTGCATCCAGCTCCCTGAACACACAGTGCAGCATTCGCACCTGGGCGTTTCGGCTAATAGAGCAGTTCCCTAAAAGAGCAAGCACAGGCGCTCAGCATCTTTTTTTAAAAGATGTCTTTCTGTCCGTGTGTTTCTGGATGTGTTAGTTTCCTGACTTCATCTGATGGCCATGATCACTGTCTCTCATCGGACTTGAGTGGAACCCTCCACCGTGTCCCGAGCGCTCGCGGTTGGATGATTGGTTCCTGGGTGCAGCGCACGGCCCACAGCCTTTATTCCTATAGAAAACTGGGAAGGCACCTTTTACTGCTTGAAGCCATTCGTCTGCCTCCCACTCAATGGTGGGGCCACCAAGCGTTACGTGGAAATTCCACAGGTGGAGCGTGCAATTGTGGTTCAGTTGTGCCCGCAAAGTGCCGCCACCTGACAGAATCGTCCGTATCTCCCGTCCAGGGAGGGTAAGACAACAGCCCTAACTGCTAAGGCTTACACCACCGCTGGGCAGGCCGCCTCGGCCCTGCATGCCATGGCCATCCGGCAGGTCCATCAGGCAAAAGCTCTCAAATTGCTGCACGAGGGTAGTTCTGAGCCGGGTTTGTTGCTGGAGCGGAGCACAACAACTGACCTCACCCTCCGAGCGTTGAATGTCAAGGTGCGGACCCTCGGCCAGACAATGTCATCTCTGGTTGGACCTGGCTGAGATGAAGGACGCCAACAAAGTTCGCCTTGACACCCCCTTCTCCCAGGCCGGCCTCTTCGGAGACACTGTCAAGGACTTTGCCCATCAGTTCCCCTCTCGGGAACATCTGTTTTCCCTTTTGTGCCACTCGTACGGAGCCTGGGAGCCTGTCTAGCGCTTCCCAGTCTGTCCCGCTGGCTCATTCGGACAATCAGACGATTTAGTTTGCCAGGCATCCCCCCAGGCTCAGCGGCGTCCTGTTTAACTTGGTGCAGGCAAACATCCCCCTGTTCTGCATGAGGAGATTGCAGTCCTCCTGGCAAAGGACGCAATAGAGCCTGTCCCTCCAGCCAAGATGAAGTCAGGATTTTACAGTCCGTACTTCATAGTACCCAAGAAGAGTGGGGGGTTACGGCCAATCTTGAATCTGCCCTTCAAGCTCCCGTTCAAGATGCTCATGCAGAAATGCATCCTCACGTGCATTTGCTCTGAGGATTGGTTTGCAGCAATCTACCTGAAGAACACATACTTCCATGACTCAATTTTACTTCAACACAGACCATTTCTTCGCTTTGTGTTTGAGGGTCGAGCATATCAGTACAAGGTCCTGCCCTTTGGGCTGTCCCTGTCTCCCTGTGTCTTTACCAAAGTTGCGGAAGCTGCCCTTGCCACGCTGAGGGAGGGGGGCATTCGCATCCTGAACTTTTTTCAAACATTCAGCCCATGGTTGGACCTTGCCTTTCTATGGGCCAGAGTGCCCCTAGAACAAGTGTCCAGGCATGTTGTTGTCACAACAGATGCCTCAACCATGGGCTGGGGTGCCGTATGCAACGGGCATGCTGCCTTGGGCTCCTGAACAGGACCTCGACTGCAGTGGCATATCAACTGCTGCGAGTTGCTAGCAGTACTCCTTGAGCCGATTCCGACTTTTGCTGCAAGACAAGTATGTACTGGTCCGGATGGACAACACAACGACTGTAGCGTACAATTTTGAGTTTAGAATCCTGTCTTTAAAGACAGTGTTCCTGACCGCACTCATTTCCTTCAAGACCTGCAGCCCTTTTCGGTCAGTAATTCGTACCTATTTATACCCGTATGTCCGGGTGGGTGTGACTTTGCATCCAAATCTCCCTGGTCAATGTTCATTGGCTTGTTCTGTTACCACTTCGAGGTAATTGGGCTCCCAGGCGGGACCCCATGACGTCAGTCCGACGTAACATCTCCATTCCCTTCTTCAGGGAACGGGGGTTACATTTGTAAACTAGACGTTTTTATTAAAACAACAAAAAACAAAATCCCCTAAAGGGATAGTTCACCCAGAAATGAAAATTATGTCATTATTTACTTACCCTCAATTTGTTCCAAACCTGTATGAGTTTTTTTTTTCTCCTACTGAACACAAAAGAAGATATTGGTAACCAGAGTTTGTAACTTTTTTTCCTACTATGGAAGTTAATGGGCCCCATCAACTGTCTGGTTACCAACACTCTTTAAAATATCTTTTGTGCTCAGCAAAAGAAAGAAAATCATAGAGGTTTGGAACCTATATGATTGAGGGTGAGGGTGAGTAAGTGATTACAGACTTTTTAATATTTGGGTGAACTATCCCTTTAACCATGTCATCACCAATTTTTGAAACGCCCTTATCAAAATAATTATTTTGTACTGTGATGACAATGTTTGAAATCCGCATTTAAATAGCAAAATCATCTTCCAGGCTTTTTTTTTTTTACTGTTACAATTACCCCTGCTATTCTCTAATTTCAGTCTAATTGCAGTTAATTCTGTATTTGTTTTTGTTTTTTTTACATTAACCTGCCATTTTAAACATATCACTAATAGCAGAATTAATCCACTTACTGTGTCGGCCAGGGTGAAAATGCAGATTAGTTCTGACAGATCCATTACAGGTTACACTCAACCAGATTTTTTTAAGGAAAAAAAAGTGCTGTGTTTGAGAGAGAGAGGGGAATGTAAGAAGACAATACACACTGATCAACTCCAGTGAATTGTAATTTAACTTAATTGAGAGATCTATTTCTACTCACATTTTCTCCGTAGGTTATAAAACAACTTCTGGTAGAATGTGATTGACTGCTCAGTGGCACCAGCTCACATCTATACACAAGTTCAAATTTAATTCGAATTTGAGAAAGGTTTATTTATCAATTTTAAAGGGCCCCTATTATGGATTTTTGAAAATCACCTTTCATGTAGTGTATAACATAGCTCTAAGTGAATGAAAACATCTTGCAAAGTTTTAAATCTGAAAGTGCACCGTATATAAAGTTATTGTCTTTCAAAAGTAAGAGTCGACTCTGAGTCAATGAAATGAATCGTTTTTCAAACGAGTCATTAGCCGCTTCATTGTGACGTCAAGACGAAACATTAGCATATTACCCGCCCACGTATTGCGCCCGCAGACACCAGGGGAAACTTGAACCTCAAACCTGCAGCTGATTCCTGTGGATACTGGATAGCATAATGTCCAGAAGAAGCTGTGCTCTATAATGTGAAGGTAAAGCCAGTTTTTTTTTTCACTTGACATGACGCGCATGTGAAGAATCAGTGGTTAAAATACAAGTAAAATAATCGGTTTGTTGATGGACATGGACTTGTTAATGCTGATGGTGAGGAATTACAGTTGCAACATCTCATAATGTAACCTCAAACTGAGTAGTATCGCTGAGAAACGTCCTGCTCGAGTCGTCCTTGCTATGGAGGTTCGGGTTGAAGAACTAGTTCTAACAAAGTTTCACCATAGGACCCGCGCTCGGATTGATATGGTAAAATCGACGTCATTGTTCGTTACTGTGTTAAGTTTACGGTGTAGGAAGCATGGCAATGGGCGTTTTTGTTTTCGACGCGCACGCTGTACGCGGTAAACCAATCACAACAGACTAAGCCGTCTGGCCAATCAGAGCAGAGTAGCTCGTGGAAAGGAGGGATTTAGAGAGATTGATTCATCTGACGAGTCGTTTGAGAATCATTGAAAATGTGGTGATGTGCAAATGTATATTACGAGAAAATTAAACCGTTTTTTTTTTTTACGTTTGATGCATGTAAACTTGTAGGAGACTCAACATTAGGAAACTTTAAAATAGCATAATAGGGGCACTTTAAATTTGTCCAATCTGAGACATGAAACAAAAATGTACAAACCTTTTTTCGTCTTTGATTGCCACAAGCTCACATCGCTGGCCGGAGTAATTTGTAGAGCTTCGCCACACACAAGAAATCTTTGTCAAGTAGTCGCTCACACATGAAAGATCTTCTGTTTTTGGTAAAACCAGAGGACAGTGAATAGAAAATAAGTAAATATTTATTTTGTCTTTCAATACTTGTAAAGTTAACGGGATAGTTCACCCAAAAATACAAATTCTGTCATTAATTACTCGCCCTTATGTCATTACAAACCCGTAAGACTCATCTTCAGAACACAAATGAAGATGTTTTTGATGAAATCTGAGAGATTTCTGTCCTTCCATTGACAGCTTACGCAACTACCACTTTCAAGCCCCGGAAAAAGACATCATGAAAGTAATCCATGTGACAGAAATCTCTCAGATTTCATCAAAAATATCATAATTTGTGTTCCGAAGATGAACGAAAGTCTTACAGGTTTGGAACTACATGAAGGTGAGTAATTATTGACAGAATTTACATTTTTGGGTGAACTATATCCCTTTAAGAAATTAACATAAATATACCCAACTAACATTATTTGGCTGCCCGAATGTTCTCTGAACATTACCGAAACATACCTTTTTTAATTTGTTTAGTTGGAAAAGCTTTCTTTACAGATATAGAACGATTATTTGTTCTAGGTTTGCAGAACCTTCCCTTAAAAATAATAACAAAGGAAAGTTATTTTATGGTTGTAAAGATAAAGCCTAAAAATAACGATTTAGGAACATTCTGTTAGTTATATTAAGGTTGTCTCAAAAAACCTCCCTGCAACGTTCTGAGAACATTATTTTATGATTGTAAAAAATAAAAAAATAAAAAAAAACGAAATGGGAACCAAAATATAATGTTAGGGAAATGCTGTGTTTGTATGGTACCTGTTTGTATGTTATTGGATTGGCCAGTTCCATAAAGTATGATGAAGATGAAGAGAGGAGTATACCAGTAATTCTTCATCACTACTTGGATCTGAAACACACATATAAAACATCTTTTTTTTTAAATACATCTTTAGTATAAAAATATATTTTACTCATGTTCTAAACAATGAAAGTGTATGGGGGACAGAACTGTCGAGCTCAAAAATGACACCTTCTGTCTTCTGAAGCAATTTGATTTTTTTTTTGTATTCAGAATAGATCAAAATAAAATCTTCCATTGCCATTCATTTTTTATTGCACGATAAGCTTGGACATTCTGCAAAGCAGTTCTCAGTTGTGACTCATCAAACACTTCAAAATGAACACACCACAAAAGTAGCAACACTCAATGTTTCATCCATTTCATCCATGATTTCATCATAAACATATTAACTCAAAATCTGGCTTCCTAAAGTAATTTATATGAGGTTAACAGAATCAATGCAGTGCTTCTGTGGTAGCTATTTTATTGTCTAAATATTTATATCTATGGTGACATCTGGTGATATGATCTATGGTGATCAATTAATAACTCAGAAGCAAACTGCTCTGAGGTTACAAACTGTCGCTATGGAGATATGACTAAGAGCGCAACCGCAAATGAAGCTGTTTTTTTTTTTACCTGTGGCTGAAAGTGTGACAAATGCACAATATTGCTCCTAGGTAGGAGAACTAAGTTTAGTCACGCTGAACTGGGATGGTAACACAAAGGTTCTGGGTTCAAAGTCGGACCCAATGAAATAATATTTCATCTGTAAGGCAAAAACACTTGACCAGTTAAACTAGCACTAACTATTTCTATTCTATATATTCTTTTATGCTACGTGTACTGTACTTGACTAACTGGGACTTGTCACAGCACTTGCATAATGTTGCCCTATTTGGTTGCTTCCAAATTTGATTGCTTCTATTTTTCTCCTCATTTGTAAGTCGCTTTGGATAAACGCATCTGCTAAATGATTAAATATTAAAATCATATGTCCAATCACTTACGAAGCACTTACTTGGCACTCCACTCTTCAAGAAGCTGATTTATAGTTATGCGCACAGCTTAATTTTTAAACCTTAAAAGGATAGTTCGCTTAAAGATGACAATCTTCATTTACTCACCCTCACATCTTTCCAAACTTGTATGACTTTCTTTCTTTTGTTCAAAAATGTCTAGAACGATAAAACGCTAAACAATTTCTTTTCACATTTGTGCACAATAATGCAAACAGCCAGTTAGCCAGAGGAGCTTTAATTTGTCAAATTCAGACTTTCACTTTTAAATGGCATCGCTGTGGCTTTTTACCTGACAGGATGTTGCCCAAAGAAAACGGTAAACTGCAAAGCACGCATATTGAATTCCATTGCAAAATTCTTTAGGTGCGCGTATATGACGCAAGCTAACTTTGGCTCTTTTGCTGAGTGGGCCATTGTCAACAGCGCACCCCTCTTTGTGAGTGGGTGGTCAATCTGTATACAGGCAATTTCCACTAACACTACAAAACGACACCCACAGACAGCAGCAAAAAACCCTCAGCTGTAACCGTAAGGTGACTTCTTGTAAAAAGGCACACTTGTAGACCAGAAGATGCCTTGCCTGTCAAAGCAAAGTCAAACAGTGACAGGACACTCTACAGCAATCCCTGACGGTGCGGTTTCACTTGAACACATTTAAAAGTGAGCGCTGAGTAATTCGGATAGCAGTTTATTTGGCACACGGGTTTGAACCTCAACTACTGATGAGCGATCACTGCAAACATCTGGTTCAACACTCTCAGTTTCACAAAGCGCTTCCTAACTTCTTGGGTTATTCTTACGAGAACATGAAGTTTAATAGGAACTAACTTGTACTTTGCATTGGTAAATTAACTAAAAAAGTTTATTAACCAATGCGTAACGAGTATTTACCAATTTATTCACCAATGAGTGGTGACTAATAATCAACCCATACAATGACACCAAGCATCTGGACACTAAAGTCACAGTTAAAAATGTCTAAATGTCAATTGCATCAGACCGCAAAATATTAAAACAAGTGGCATCTGCTAAAATATGCTACATCTTTTCTCAGAACTGACTTTCTACTCACTTTTTGTGTCATTTTGCGAGGGGGAGTTTTAGTGAACGAAGTCCGTTTTTACAGGTGCACATCTTGATTCGCATCGACATAAAGTCACAATACGCTTAGTTTTCAACAGTATAACTATTGCACAACCTAACAAATTTCTTCCCGTGAAATGTTTTGCTTGAAGTAAATGCTCATTTTGGTATATACTGCAATGGCATCCATTTTTTTATTGCAGCTTAAGTGTTCAAATACATTTTAGGGTCAATCGCTGTTCATCAAATTACATCATTTTTACATCAGATCAGCTCAGTTGTTGTTTGATATACAATACATCATTGCTCAACCCAGCAGTCGTTTAATATTGCAAGTGTAATACTTACCCTTTGCCTTCAGCTGACTGTCAAACAGCTGTCTGCACAGGCAGCATGGATGCTGAGGTCTGTCTGTCCACCTGATTACCTACTCTTCATCCTCCTCTCTTTACCGCTCTCGCTCTATCTGCCCCTCCCCTTTTACCTCCATCTGTCTGGAGGATCTCTCTTTCTCTATCACTCTACTCCTTCCTTTCTGTTACTCATCTGATCTCTCTCTCTCTCTCTCTCTCTCTCTCTCTCTCTCTCTCTCTCTCTCTCTCTCTCTCTCTCTCTCTCTCTCTCTCTCTCTCTCTCTCTCTCTCTCTCTCTCTCTCTCTCTCTCTCTCTCTCTCTCTCTCTCTCTCTCTCTCTCTCTCTCTCTCTCTCTCTCTCTCTCTCTCTCTCTCTCTCTCTCTGCAAATCTTCCTCCCTGCTCGATGTATGACTAACCGCAATGTTTGCTGACATGTTTACAAAGCTAAATCAAGAGGTCAGAGGACCCGAAGAGAAATAATGTCCTCTCAATCTTTCTTTGATGCAAGGATGTTCTTTTCTTATTGTTTATATATAATGTATTATTGATATATTTTATTGTTGTGTCTTAGTATACACAATTTTGTGAAAGTCTGAACTTAGCAAGATTATTACAAGTTATTGGAGAGGCCAGGAAAATGAGAATTGTCTTTTGTTAAGGATAAATATTAGCCACGCTGGGCTCGACACGGCGCCTGAGCGGTTCTCGGTGCACAAAAGTTTGATGAGGACCACATCCTGTTTCATACAAACTTTTTATACCCACAAACTACACACACACACACACCACTCACTCACTCAGAAAAACATGCATATAAACAATCACATGCATGCATGTATGCAGGAATCCACATGCACTGACAAATGGGCTCTGCTGAAGCATAAGGAGAACCAAGATTATATAGAAAAATTCAATGGAGAAGCATCTTTGAAACAATCTGTGCTTTTATCTTTGAGAAGTATGCATCTAATTCAGTATGTATTACATACCTCATTTACTAAATTTAGCATCAGTGCATGAGTACATTTGCTAATGGATGCTCTAAAACTAAAACATGATGTGCATGTCGTGTCAAGCAAATACACACCACACAGGTACAGCTAAAGTCTGCAATTTCTGTATTATACCAAAAAAATAAATAAAATAAAAAATTAGGTGCGTCCCAATTCCTACGCCATTTTGTAGTATAAATATTTCTCAAGTAGTGCTTTCACAGTGAAAATTCCAAAAGAAAAAAAAAGTGCACTTAAAATGTTTGACACCTCATATACTCGACTGTCTTTAGCGACCCGGATCTATATCTAACACAGATGGATCTCTACCGGTTGCGATGATATAAAACTCTCTTTATATTAGAGTAACAATTACAGAATAATCAAATAAAGCATATTACCCTTCGGAGCTTGGAAGGGTTCAGTTTGAGCAGATGTTTTAGACCATTATCCGTGTCCTCACCAGAGCTCATTTCCCAGTACTTTCAGCATCTGACTCGTATTCGCCATCTCAAACATATTCTCAAAACTATCATTTTCAACATCTTCAAAATCAATATTTTGATCACTGACAGCTTCTTCACCAGATTCACCATCAAGTGACAGTGACACTAATATTTGATTGTGTTCAGTACATGCTCTGCGTAAATTGCTGAGCCATTTCAAGTTTTGCTGATGATACTTCCTATTGTTTTGTTTTCTGCCTGTGTCTAACTTTAAAAAATGAATGATGTGGAGGGTAGTGGATGACGCACCGGGTCACTAAAGACCCGAGGTATGTGTTTAAGGTTTAAGGTGCGGTCAGATATGTCAATTATGAGGGCGAATTCCAGTCATTTAGTTCAGAATCTACACCATGGGTCACCAAACTAAGGCCCGCGGGCCGAATCAGGCCCGCCACGGCGCCACCCCCGTTTGACTGGCCCCCCAACCCCTCTGCCCCCCAATACTTGAACCGGCAATCCCCAAAAGACGTCATGGCCTATTTTTTTTTTAATTGCTTTTTGGAAAATAATAACATGTCTGCATCTGGTATTTTGTTGATTTTTTTCAGTTAAAAATGTATTTTAGTTATAAAATTAACTATATTTGCCGAATTTTCGTCACCCGACATGCTCGAGATCGCGCAGAGACAACAACGCACGCACAGAGTAGGCTACTGTCAGTGTGGCTAGTGTTAAAAGAAAAGTTGATAGAGAGTGCAGAGTTTTCAAAGAACAGTGGACCAACGATTATTTTTTGTTCAGTGTAAAGAAGTGCAGTTTGTATTATATGTAAAGAAAGTGTGGCAGTTTTCAAAGAATATAATTTGCGTCGTCACCACGAAACCCACCACAAGGAGTATGCTAGCTTGCGAGGGCAAGCAAGAGAAGACAGGATTCGGAGGATAAAAGTCGGACTGGCTGCACAACAGAATGTATTCCTTCGCCAAACTCAGGTCAACCAGGCTGCTGTCCAAGCTTGCTATAAGGTAGCTCACCTACTAGGTACCCATGGAAAGACTCGATAACTACTTTTGCAAACAACTAGATAAACAAATATGGCTGTGCCAGGCTAGTAATCTCTACTACACAATGAGGCCTGCTGGTGGTCAGTTTGGTCTGGGTTATACAATTCTATGTTATATAGCTGACCCGGCCCCAGCCCCCCCATCACAGTCAGGAACCATAATGTGGCCCCCAGAGAAAAAAGTTTGGTGACCCCTGATCATAGACTGTAAAAAAAGATGGACGACGCCCCTTCGCTCTTTTCCATTGGAGAGAACTGAAGCCGCCAGAGTCCCGATATGGCGCTGACATATTGGAACTTAAGTCTGCCGTTTTCGGGACCAGTCATGCGCAGTCGTGAGCAGGAAGTAAAGCCGCGAAATCAAGGCCCCGCCCTCGCGCTCGTTGAATCAGTCGCACGCACACGCCCTGCACTTTTCTTAAGTGGCCTTGTCTGCTCCATTCCTCTCCAATGATGTCTGCTGTTTGCAGTACCTCGTTAAAATAAGGTAAATAGAACTACTAACCACATAGTCAACATTATGAAAAAAAGTCCGTTGGTGCTTCAGTGACTACTTCACACAGAGAACCTGTCAATCACAGCTGTCAATCATGATGTCACAGCACCGTTTTTATAGCATCAAATAACTAACTAAAAACGAACTTATTTTAAAAACAAACACTTGAAATTACATCAACGTGATAGAAACTACAGTAAATGACAGAAACTATCTTTAGAAAAAAGATATGTGAAGTGTAATTTAATTATTTAGTTGGTCTCACGTCCCGTTGAATAACATGGGGAGGCGGGGCTTATGAGCTATACTAGGACCGGTCACCGGGGGGTGATCGAGACGTTTTGGCTTCACTTTTGAGGGCTTGTGCGGCACGCTTGCCCCTGATCTACACGATCGTTCAAGCAAATTTGCTCGTTTGCTTGAACGATCAGAACAGAAAGCTGTTTGGTTTGAAATATATCGCTACACTATTGACAATGAACAATTATTACAACTTCTCATGAGACTCTCCCGTTAGAGAAATCAAATGGCTACAAATGGTTTAAACGGATAGTTCAACAATCCATTTAATGTGTTGTCACGTTTACTATTGCTTGGCAAAAGTCTTGCTGTCATTTCAATAAGAATTCAAGCACTCGTAAATCGGAGGGCAAAAGATTTCCCTGGCAGACCCTCATCGTATTCTAGTTGGGGACCGCATATATAGAAGACACGATTGTGTGATGACATCAAAATACACATGAGGTCATTGTTTATATTTTCGCATCATGAAAAAAAGCAGAAAACAACAATGATTCTCTAACAGCTCAGCCACACGTACAAGCCCACAGCTACATGCACAACCTCAGGGTTTGTTTTTGTTAACAGTTTGGTATCATAAGTAGTTAACAGTTTGTACTATGATGATTCAAGTGAGAACGCAAAGTTTAAGAAAGTAGGCTACTCAAAACTAACTAAGAACAAATGACATTTGGTGCTGCATCAGAACAGGAACTCACAAGTGTGAGGTGAGCAAACAAGATGCGTAACACGCTGCTCTGGTAAAGGTCAGTTGTCTCGGTGAAGGGAAGGGGGAGGGATTGACACTCATGCAAAACAAGAAAACAGCCTCGGATTGCAAGACCGCAAGGAGAGGATGTTTTAGGGGTCTTAAGTAGGTGTTAAGAGTGTATGTGCAAATATGTGGGTAGAAACTACAACCTACATTCAAAGCACTTTGTAAATTGACCAGCAATACCCAAAATAAACCAAATCAACGTTGCGTTTTACAGCTTCTTACAGCGGAAAAGAGTCAACATATTACCATATAGGAGATTATCATCCAAGTACCACTTTTTTTAACAATAAAGACTTAACAACAACAAAAACTGAAAAATACATTTACAGCATTTATTAATCTTGGTTATACGAATAGATTTTTAGTATTAAAATACTGTTCATTGGTAGTTTGCGACAACTAAAGCATTAACTGATTTTTAATCTACACAACAAACCATTATCTGAATCAGAGCATATTAGCTTTCACAAAGTGTTTATACTGGTCATGCTAACATAATAATGCTGTTATTACAGCAGCAACAACATTTTTTTCCTCTCTGTTCTGCATTAGCTATCAAATATCGTTGGCTCTTGACAAATAACTTGTAATTGTCTTGAAAAAGTCACTTGAAATGACTGGTTCTGAAGGATAAACGCGTCTGCTAAATAAATAAATGTTCATGTTTAATGGCATAACAGAATTGAAAAAAAGATCAAGAATGAAAATGAAAGGAATACGCCATGTTCAATACAATAGAAAACCACACACTTCGACAGCATCCATATCATCCTGTCCATTACCACAGAAAAAAATGCTTGTATCTAAATTATGCAAAAAAAAATATGTACAGAAATGCACAGAATGAAATATGTCTCTTGTAAGTTTATAAGTATTCACTTTTTTGTTGTTGTTTTGTTAACCACTCTATTTCGAACTATTTCCTTGAAATCATGACACAACCAAGAGCTTCACTTATAAGTAACCTG